TGATATACCCTATATTTTACCATTTTTACTATCTATTTTAATATGGTTTTTACATATATTAATAAAGCTTTTCGACCAAAAGAGGTAGTTTTCTCGTATTTGTAGATTTTAAGATCTTAACAGGTTTTATCATCAAAAGGATGTAAAATGGAGCAAAAAGAGTGTTATKTATGATGCAGKTACTRATTCAAGTCAAAGGAACRAAGRCAAGTCGTTTTATCTTGAAGATAATGCATATTCTCAAACTAGACAGAACGTATATGTCAGAAATTTGCTGATGAACGGAAGATAAAATCAATTGGGAATTTAATTAAACTTGGTATTGAGATAGCGCTTTGAGTTAACTTTCCAATGGATTTGGAATTTCATCAATTGGAGCTATACTTTAGAAGATACAATGGAAATACTGAGGACATGTCAAACTGCCTTCGAAGTGAAGTGAGTGCACAAGGAAGCCAAGCACCTTTTCCAACCTTCTCGAAGCGCCATAGAAGCCTCAAATACCGGTCATGCAACCCGACCGGTATTGTGACCGGTATTGCCTCAGTTTCGACCAAAAAGACGTTTTTACTCGAAGAAGACCTAGCCGACTTAAGCCTCCTTAAACCCCTATAGATTCTTGCTTTTGGCCTCTCTAGGAACTTAAGCAGCCGGCCATAACAGCCTAAATCAATACCTAAACATGTATTTCGTTTTTCTCTTGTTCTTAATGCATATTTGATTCTAAAAGCTTTTAAGGATATATTGACTTTGTCCTATTGCGAAGAGATGAGATTTAACTCCTTCCGCTTTGTAGATCAACGATTTATCTTTATGTTTATGTGCTTTACTCTTGCTGGTACGTGTTACAAAACATGTTAGAGTACTAGCTTTGATTTGATTTCTATGCACTTTCTTAATTCTATGTCTTTACATACTTAATCGTTTAGAGTTTTATTCTAGAATTGATTCTTCATCTTTATTTATACTCAAAGCACGAACTGGCTTACCTACCAAGGGGTTGATCTTAGGTTGATATACTCTCCAAAAGCTTGTTATATCTCCAGACCTAGTATTCGATGAGCTAGGCATCTTAACAATTCGATAGGTTAGTTAAGGAGTCTAGTGAACAATCAATCTTGATCATAAAGCATGTTTTCACCTTGTAATAACTTGCGATAGTTGAGTCTATTAGGGTAGAAAACGTAGAAGGTTAGTTACGTCACGACAGTGGGATGACCTTACATTAGTGATATGAGTTCTAGAACAACTGGTATTAAAATCCTAAATCGATTTCTTATGTTTGCATATGTTTTGTGAATTGCTTGATTTCTCATCTTAATTGATATATATCCATTTACTTTATTGTTTTGTTATTTGGTTCATGAAAAACCCCAAAAACTAAATAATATGTTCACTTAGCTTAATTGGAATCATATAGGTTTGTAGTGCATTATCACTTAGTCCTCAGTGGATCGACCCTAAGTACTACAATTGTCTTTACTGTGCACTTGCAGTTTCCTAGGGTTATAAATTTAAAACTTGTATTGCATCA